TTGGTCATGTGTGCCTTTAATCCCAGCATTCTGGAGATAAAGGCAGGCAGATCTCTATAATAAGTTCAAGACCAGCCTGGTCTACAGAGAGTTCCATGGCAGGGTTATACAGAGAAACTCTGTCTCGACCCCCTGCCCTCACCCCCGCCAAAAAAGAAAAGAAAACAAACAAATGGTATAGAGACAGACAGCACACTGATCTAGATTCTGAGAGGCTTTTGGGGGTCTAGAAAGTCAAAGTATTTTTCATAGATTACTTGAAAGATTGTAGATTGAAAGATTACTTGCCTTTTAGTTTTTCAAGTGTATAGAAAAAAAAATCTTAAAAAGATTCCCAGAGTATATAAAGCATGCTGGATTTAGTGGCACAGGTCTGTAATCCCAGCTACTCTGGAGACTGAGGCAGGGTTATTGCTAGCTCTTGGCTTATATAGACTTTGGAGGAATTCAAAGATAGTCTGTGCAAACTAAATGACCCCCCATCTGAAACAAACAAACAAATGACGGCTGAGGATATAGCTTAGTGGTAGACTGCTTGCCTGGTTTATGTGAGGCCCTGGGTTCAGTCCCTCATGAACTAAACGTACCTAATATATACATACATGCACACATCCATCACATATACACACTTGTAAAGTCACTTAATTATTTTAGTTATTTTTCATAATATGCATATTTAAGTAACATGTATAATAGTAAATGAGTAAATATTTTTGAGGTTAATTTTGTTTGTGTCAGGCGGTGGTAGCACATGCTAATCCCAGCACTTGGGAGGCAGAGGCAGGTGAATCTCTGAGTTCGAGGCTAGCCTGAGGCAGCCTGGACTACAGAGTGAGTTCCAGGACAACCAGGGCTATACAGAGAAACCCTGTCTCAAAAAACAAACAAGTTTGTTTGCTTATTGTGCTAGCCCAGGCTGGCTAGACCAAAACTCCTAAATGTTGGGATTTCAGGCATGAAGTTGCTATGCCTGGATAAGTTTTATTTTTCAAATACGATAATTATCTGATGGGCCTTATTCTCAGAATCTTTTTGAGATTCTTAATAATTTGAATGCAGAAGTGTCTTCTGACGAAAGTTAAGTGTAAGAATGTGTTTCTGCTTTCATTTGGTGTAATAGCTACTAGCCACCTGTGGGTATAAGCTGGGAGATTGAATTTTGAAGTTCTTTATATTGATTACATGCGGACATGGAAATATTTTGGGTGTATTAGGAGGTTAAACAAAAGGTATTAATCTTAGTTGGGGATGTGCTCAATGGTCAACCCCCCCCTAAAAGGTACCACCTTTGTACTTTTTAAAATGTGGCTATGAGAAAAATTTTAATTATGGCTTAAATTTAATTTGCCAACTTTGGCTTAAAGAGTAATTTAAACTGTCTTTTTTATACTTACAAAGCTATATTGGCTTAAGGGAAACAGATGTTAAAGTCCGACCCTCTCCATTGCAGTGGTTTGTAGCCTGCTCTGTCCCTATTGGAGCTCTGGGTTCTTAGAGGATGTGGTCCATCGGTGCAGAACTTGAGTGATGTCCTTGGAAATAATAGTTTCTGGTGCTGTGTTTAGGAGAAAACCGCTAACACCAATGAAGTATTTCTCATTTTTCCATTGCTTTCAAACTTCATTGCTAGTAAAGTTTATTTCTAACTTGGGAACACTGTTATGAACTAGATCCATTGCCAGCGTTCTCTTATGCAAAGCTGGGAGGTATGCCTCTTGTCAGACTTAATTACCAAGTTTGGTGTTTTGTAACAGCTGTTGAGAGTCTGGAGCAATGTAATACAAACTCCAGCTGATTAGGGATGGCGATGGAGCGGGCTTATTTACCTGCAGTAAATGGCAGCACACACCATGTTCATTGATGACGTTGTCATCAGAAGGAAGTTGTTTTGAAATGTATGTAATACATTATGTCAAGTAGGCTTGGCTAGGAGTTCAACTGCTAGAAAATGAGACCTGGCAAATTACTTTCTAGTTTGTTTCTGTTTTTAAACTGAGTTGCTTATTTTCTACTATAAATTTCATGCATGTCCAGAAAGTAGTAAGAAGGAATGTTATTAAATGTTGCTTTTAGTTTGCTTACTTTGGTTGCAAGGCACTGTTAGATTGATATTTATATCTATAGAAATAAGTACTTTAATTTTAAATTATTGAGCTGAATAAAACAGCACTGAAGATTTTAACATTACAGAAATGGAGAGGTATTAAACTCCCGCTATCAAAGATTGATTGTTTGAGAAAATCACCTGTTAACTTAGGTCAGCAAAAATAAAGACACTCCTCAACGTTATAAAATGGGTAAAATATTCTGGAACTTCTCATTGGACACTAGACTTTTAGGTTTTTATTGGTGTTTAGCGTGAGCTTCAGATGAACCTGGTAAGCTCCTAAAATAGAAAGCACCGCTCTCTTTAGCAAGCCATTAGATTACAGAGTAATGTGATTATTCTACATTTGCGTTTGGGTTTGATGGTGCTCTGAACGGGAAGCTGCAGAGGCAGAGGGAGGCTTTGTTCACACACGTAACTCGGGTCTACAGCACAGCACTGGGCACATGAGACATGTTCAACTGATCCAGCCTGACTGTACTTAAAACCTGGATCTTCTAGTTGGTAGCTTACAAATTATGGATATTTAAAGTACTAGTAAAATACTTTTGGGTTATAATTTGTTAAATTTTGGAAGACATGTTTGAGGTTAGAAATAGAAGAAAATATACTTTAAAAAAACTAATTGAATTGGGTGTGGTTGTAAACCCCTGAAATTCCAGCACTTGTAGGGATCAGATGTAGTAGAATGGGGGGTGGTTTCAAGATTTCTGCCGTGTCTAGAGTTCAGGCCAGCCTAAACTACGTGACACTCTCTTCTGCAGAACAAATCAGACCAGAACAGAATAAAGATTAATTTGTAGTAACATGAAATTTACATGAAATAACGGTTTTCAAAATGTACCTCAAGCTGCTTAAGAATTTAGGGCATACAGTATGTAGCTGTTAGGCAAGTATTTCTGCAGTTGTTGTTTATACATTAAATATCTTAAAATCTGTAATTTTATTGCCCTATGATTATTAAATACTTGAAGCTATAATTGTAGTACCATACAGTTTTTAGAGTATATCTTCATAATATTACATAAGGAATTAGCTTTCCCGGGATAGTTTATTAATAGAACCTAAGACAACAGTTAAACTACAACACCAATCTTGCTTTAAAGAGAATGGCTCCCAGGTTGATGTTTAAAACCTGAGAATTTTCCTTTTGAGGGTTGTTAGTGTCTGTGAGTCTTATAGGGACCCTGTGAAAAGCGCACTCAAGAAGGGTGGTGTCTTCTCAATTTAATGCGAAGTTTTTAAAGCTGGACTAGAAGGGGAGTGAATCCTCTGCCTCACTGAAGCTGCAGATAAGAGTAAGCAGGGTCACCTAAAGATAGATTTACTTAGAGGTGTGGCTGCCTCTCGGGCTCATTTAGCTTTGAGCAGATTTCCTTAAATGGAAAGAGCAGCTGGAGAGATCGAGTACCTAGCTTGAGAGTGGACAGTGTGTGACAGGTGCTGAAACAGGCTGGAGGTCTTACAAGTGCTCGCCAAATGACTTTGAGGTTTTAGCATTTGGTGAATTTGGAGGCACTAACAGATTTTCTTTTTTACAATTAAAAGTTTCTTGAGACAGGCTTTAGAAGATTCATGTCTGTACTTGTGAATTTGTCATGGCTTTATGAAACTGTGTGAACAGTCACAAAAGCTCCTTAAGGAGAATATCTTCAGAAAAACAGTCAAATTAAAATTTATTATTTGTTTCAGGACCTCTATTTACATAAATTATTCAGCACATAAATAAGTCAGATTATGAAATAAATGTACGACTAAGGTAATGATGAGTTCTTGACAATTCTCCTGTAAAATCATGGGATTGTTTTTAACTTGATACATAAAAGAAATGCCATGTGTTATATGGAAAATTTAGGGTTATATACACTGCTTGGAGATGGAGCACTTGCCTTGCAATGTGGGAGGTGCTGGGGTTTAATCCTCAACATCTCAAAACTAAACAGAACTAGTTGTGAATGCAAAGCTTCCGATTTTACAGGAATGAGAAGTCATCGTTCTGAGTTCTTATTTCATGCCAGCACTGTACGTGGTTTCCACAGCCGTGTGTGGAAGTCGTCCTGCTCTATAAAAGTGGAAACTGAGGCATCAGAGAGTAAGGGGCCTTAGTGGCAGAGACTGAGAACCCAGACTGTTAGACCTGACCTAAAAGTACAAACCTCTGAATAGCTCACTGTTCCACAGGTCATTTGATAGCAAAGCATGGAAGAGCTAGGAAGAGCATCCATCTCTCCATCCTACAGGTGCATACGTACATTTCTTAGGGAAAACCGAGCAAGCCCACTGGAAGTTGGAAAAGAACAACATTATTGTGAAAAGTTATCAAGTGTTGGGACTGGAATACCTTGCCTGGAGATTGTCCACTCATAGGAAACTGTATAAAAATTAAAGCAATTCATTAGGCTAGCTTAGAAATAAGTGTTTCTACCTGATTTCTGTTGACCATATTACTCCAGCTTAGAGACAAACATCTGATTACATAATTGGCCTACAGAGTTGTTCTCTTTGTTCCCGACCCCCATGGACGATTCTCACAGTTAATTTTGATCTAAAATGGATGCAATTTTCATATTTCAAGGTTCTTTCTTTATTATTTTTTTGGTTAAGATCCAGAAACTTCTTACTAATTTGTAATTAGCTTCATTGGGTTTTTAGTTTTGAGCTAGGGTCTGCCTATATATAGCTCAGGGTAGTTCAAACTCCTTTCCCTGCCTGAACCTTCCAAGTACTGGGATTATAAGAATGCGACACTATACCTGGCTCATTGGTTCCTTTTAAAATTAACATTCTCTTTAAAGAACATAATAAACTTTATTATTATTTATTATTTTAGTAAGTAGTTAATGAGTGAATACTCACTGACTTATGTAGAATTGTTCCTTTTTTCCCCCCACAGTGGAAGCATCAGTTCATAGCAGTAATTCACACTGTACAGATAAGACAATTGAAGCTGCTGAAGCCCTGCTTCATATGGAATCTCCTACCTGCTTGAGGGATTCAAGAAGTCCTGGTATGTGAACTGTCTGTCACATCATTTCCTATTAGAATGAAGATCCATGCATAAATACCTGGTATCAATAACTGATATTAAAGGCTCTCAAATCTTAAGTGAGTACTTAATAATGTCCTAATAAATAATGCAGAAAGTGCCCATAAATAGTTGTATATGTATAATGTTTATTTTCTTGATTCTGGTAAATTGTAGGTAGTTTTAGTCCTTAAGAGGAGGACAGGTTGGACCATTTGCTTCCTTCCTGTAGCCTTTCAATCCGTTACTCACTGATCAACAGGCAGTAACTACATGGAACTGACCATGGTAAAGCGGGAAAGGAATTTATCTTATATACCTTTCAGCTTGTGAAATAAGGTTCCTTTTTTCCTTGTAGATTGACATTAATAGTGGTGTTGTACTAGTTTGATTTTTGTCCTAATTTTAATTCATTATGCAGGAATTACAGTTAGTTGCTAACAGCAGCCAATTTTAAAAGGTTACTTTATGTGTATGGGTGTTTGCCTGCATGCATGTCTGCACGTGTGCATGGGTGCCAGAAGAGGGGTCAGATCCTCTGGGACTAGAGTTAAATAAAGATGGTTGTGAGCTGTCATGTAGATGTTGGGAATTGTATTCCAGTCCTGAAAGGGCAGTCAGTGTTCTTAAAAACACTTAGCCATTTTTCATTTTTCCTACAATCATATTTTTAGTTAGCTTAGGAATCCAATGCATTCTTCAAGGTTATGAGAAGTAAATGGTGGCTTTGCAGGGTGGCATATTGATCCATGTTAGGAGACAGTATCTGGGTCTACTAATTTGAAATAGAAGTGTGGTATCCTGGTTATTTATGTATATGTGATGGGAGTTGAAACAACACATTATGTAGTAGAATACCAGATAGCAGTCTGTATGTACTATTTTAGTAATTTACAATAATGTTTAGTAACTGTCCTGAGGTGAACAGTTAGTCCCTTTTTCATATTTTGAAATGAAAAAAGTATATACTTTGTAGTGAACATACATTTATACATTTTTACATTTTGTATCATGTTCTTGTATTCCCCAGTTAATAAATAATGGCAGATATGTACAATGGAAGTAAGGACCATTATTTTATAGTTTTCTTTGTCAAAATAATGTAAAATGTTGCTATAATTAACCTGTAAGTTTAAAGGGAGTTGGAGAGATGGCTCAGGTTAAGAGCACTGTGTACTCTTGCAGAAGTCCTGGGTTTGGTTTCCACACCCACATGGTAACTCCCAATTCTAGAGGATCTGATGCCCCCTTCTGGCTTCTGGAAGCATTAGGCACACAAGTGCACAAACATGCCAGGAAAACATCCATACACGTAAAATAAAAATAAATGTTCTTTAAAAAGTACCTAAAAGTATGTCAAGGTGATTGTCTTTTACTTGTGTATTTTAGATCGTTTTGGATATTCAGTTACTTGATTTTTTCAGGCACAAGTTCTTAATCTTACTTTGAATAATTCTTCTGTAAACCTTGCCTCCTCTAAATACTGAACTTTCCACATAGGAAACTATAATAGGGGTGGGAAATTTTAATTTTTCAACTTTTTTTTATAGTGGAAGTGTTTGTCCCTCCTTATATATCAACTCCAGAGTTCATCCATGCTGCGATGAGGCCAGATGTCATTACAGAGACTGTAGTGGAGGTGTCGACAGAAGAGTCTGAGCCGATGGATGCCTCACCTATTCCCACTTCCCCAGATAGCCACGAACCAATGAAGAAGAAAAAAGGTAGAGTATATTTATCAAATGAGAAATCTTTTCCATCTTATCTTTTTGTTTGTTTGTTTGTTTATTTTGTTTTTTGAAACAGGGTTTCTCTGTGTAACCCTGGCTGTCTTGAAACTCACTCTGTAGACCAAGATGGCCTTGAACTCAAAGCAGTCAGTCTTGCCTCTGTTTTGAGTACTGGGATTAAAGTTATGTGTCACCACTACCTGGCAGATTAATGTTATTTTAACTAGACTCAGGAATAAGCAAATTGAGATGTGCTTTAATATTAATATTGTTTAAAGATGTTTGTGGCCAGGCCTGGTAATGCTCACCTATAATCACCGCTCGTTGGAGACTGAAGCAGAAGGATATAGTATTCAAGACCAGTGAGCCACCGTCCATTTATAAAAATAATTCCCCCAACTACTGAGACACACACACACCACAGCGATAGACACTTACTTGGCATGTTCAGTAACCTGGGTCCTGTCCCCTGTATTGCTCATCACAAACACCTTCAAAAATGTGTTTGCATTTAAGGCTAAAGGTACAGGAGCTTGGTCCCCAAAAGAGCCAGCGTCCCTACATTGTTAACACTTTAGAGGAATTTGTTTATTACATTCAAACTTGGATTTTTGAATTATTGTCTTGGGAGAAGGTCTTATTTATATATAGCTCAAGCTATCCTTGAATTTATCGTTCTCCTGCCTTGGCCTCACCAGTATTGAGATGATTGCAAGCAGGTGCTACCGTGGACAGCCTGCTGATGAGTGCGCGTGCGCGCACGCACACACACACACACACACACACCCCCCAAAACTACCAAGTAATACACAGTCTTATGTTTTCTTCCTTTTGTGGACAATATTTTAAAGAAACCAAGACAGCTATGGTATGACATGCTGGTGGGCAATTTTTTCTTTTTACTGAAAATGGGTTTTCATATATTTTGATTTTTTTCCCCCTCCCCTAATGCCTCCCAGATCCTCCCTGTCTCCCTACCAATCCAATTTCATTCTTTTTCCAACCCCCCCCCCAAAAAAAAAACCCAAACCAAAACAAAAAATAGCAAAACAAAAAGCTCTCAAAAAACAAAACAAAACTCAGAGTCTGTTTTGTGTGGCCACCTCTCCTGAACTTGAGTGGGCCTATCTTGGACTGTGGTTGATGTGGAATTTCACAAGGACTGTGGATCTTTTTCTTTTAAACCAAATACTTTCTCCGTTGTTTCATCCTCTTACTGTTCCTGGCTTTTCCCCTTCCTTCCCAACTCTGTACCCCTCTTCTTGTGCTGCTACCTCCTTATACTATTTTCTTCTCTTCCTTCTGTCTTCCTCTGACTTCCCATACAGACTCATCTGCGTCTGCCCCCCAAATGCTGGGATTTTTACTTTCTCTAAAAAACAAAGGGTGGGGACTGGATAGATGGTCTAGAAGTTAAGAACACTGGTTGGTCTTCTAGATTCTATTCCCAGCACTCACATGACGGTTCACAGCTGTCTGTAAATCTATTTCCAGAGGATCTGATGCACAACTGCTTTTAACTCCAGTTTCATGGATTTTGATGCCCTCTTCTGGTTACCAGACATGCAGAGTGGTACACAGACATACATGTAGGCAAAATGTCTGTACACGTTAAACATACGAACACAAACATCTAAGATTCCCGGTATAAACCTAGTAGTAGGTAACAGGAAGAGAATTCCACTTTTTAAGCCTCATCTCAATGGTAAAGTGTAAGGGCCAGCATACCTGCCACATCACAAGGAGATGGGAACACAGTGCATTTGTCTTTTACTATCAAGTCAAGGGTAAAAGTTGAAAGAAACTAAATCTTTAGTTAAGAACTTGTATTACTATCATATTGCCGTGATAAAACCCCATGACCAGGACAAATTGTAGAAGGAAGGGTTTATTTGCGGTACAGCTCCAGAGGGAGAAGAGTCTTGTCATGTGGGGAATGTGGCCACAGCACTCATCTAGTTACACTTTCTTCATTCTTTGTTTGCATTTTAGAGTAAAATAACACACTGCCTTCCATTATACAATTCAGACAGAGATGACAGAGGTTAAATATGTCTTAAAAGTACAGCATATTCTGTTACTCACTACCCACTAAAATCCTTTGGCATAAAGAATGAAAAATAATTAAAACAACAAAAAGACAGATAACCCAATCACTCACTTCTGGGCAAATGAACAGAAGTACAAATTGTCAGTGTATACATGTGAAAATACATCTTTACCCTCCAGGGTAATGCAGGTGAATATACATTTGCTGTTCCCTCTCACCCAACTCAGAATGACTGCCGCCAAGAGGACTAAGTGGGCATGGTGCTCATTCCTGTGATCCTAGCACATAGGAGGCCAAGGAAGGACTGTTGAAAGTTGAGTTGCCTGAGGTGCCTTGTAAAACCCTATTTTGGTGGCCAGTTTGGTCTACAGAGTGAGTTCCAGGCACCTAGAGCTACACAGAGAGACTTGTCTCAAAGACAAACAAACCAAACAAATAAGCAAAAACCAAGCAGGGCAGTGGTGCCACATGCCTTTAATGAGAGGTAGAGGAAGATGAATCTCTGGGTTTGAGGCCAAACTGGTCTACATAATGAATTCTAGGACACCCAGGGCTTCACAGAGAGACCCTGTCTTGAAAAACCAAAAAAAGAAAAAAAAAATCAAAAGACAAGGGCTGGTGTGATGGTTCAGCATGTAAAGGGACTTGGAAGCCAGCCTCATGGTCTTGAGTTCAGTCCCGGGGCCCACGTAGTAGAGTGAGAGAACTGATTCCTGCATATTGATCTCTGATGTCCACGTGCATATGTAGCACTGTTTTGAGGACATACACACTAATACATATAATTGAAAGCAACAGGGCTGGAGAGATGGCTCAGTGGTTAAGAGCATTGCCTGCTCTTCCAAAGGTCCTGAGTTCAATCCCCAGCAACCACATGGTGGCTCACAACCATCTGTAATGAGATCTGGTGCCCTCTTCTGGCCTGCAGGCAGAATATTGTATACATAATAAATAAATATTTAAAAGAAAACAAACCAAAAATACCACCATCTCAACAACAACAACAACAACAACAAAAATGCAGCACCTCCTACTAAGAATGGGCCACTGGTGGGTAGGGGAATGAAACACTTTTGCACCGTTGATAGTAATGTAAATTATCGGGTTCCTCAAAAAGTTGAAAATAGAACTTAACAGTATGCTCCAACTATACCAATCATATGTACATGAAGGAATCTTAAGCATACAATATATAGTGAATCTTAGTTTTGTCATGATTTACATTAGCCAAGTTAGAGAATCTAGGTATCTATCAACAGATGAATGGAAAAATAAAATGTGATTCTCTCTGTGTGTGTGTGTGTGTGTCTGAGAGAGAGAGAGAGAGAGAGAGAGAGAGAGAGAGAGAGAGAGAGTGAGTCAGTCTTAGGGGTTCTGTTGCCATGAGCGTGAGGTGTAGCAGCCTTTCTTGGACTGCCAGCCCCCAAATCATGACATGGAGACTTATTATTAATTATGAATGCTTGGCATTAGCTTACATTTGTTTCTAGTTGTTTTTGTGTGTTTGTTTGTTTGTTTTTAGCTTAAATTAACCCATTTGTTAATCTGTGTGCTGCCCTGAGACTTTTTTGCCCTATCTACTTACTGTCCACCCTGATTTCCTGCTTCCTTTGTGTCTGGCTGGCTCCCTTTTTCTCTCTGCTCAACAGCCCTGCCTATCCCTCCTCTGTCTATATATTGGCCGGTCAGCTTTTTCTTAGACCAATCAAGTGCCTTAGACAGGCAAGGCAAAGCAGCAACACATTTTTACATAGTTACATATTTTTATATAGTTAAACAATTTTTCTGTAACACAGACAAATGTAACACATCTTTACATAGTTAAACAAGTATTCTGCTTCACAGCAGTGAAGAGACACTGACCACAGCAACTCTTTTAAAAGAAAACATTTAATTGTGGTGGCTTACCGTTCAGTGGTCCAGTCCGTTATCATCATGGTGGGGAGCATGGCAGCATTTAGGTAGACATGGTACTTACTGACTTCATCTTGATCAGAAGGCAACAACAAGTAGACTCAGACACTGGGCCATATCTTGAACATAGGCAGTTTCAAAGCCTGTCCCCATGGTGGCACACTTCCTCTAATAAAGCCACACTTAATGTCACTCCCTATGAGTTTATAGGGGCCAACTGCATTCAAACTACCACAGTGTGTCTGTGTATACATATATATGTACATGAGATGTGTACACACACACCAGAATATTTAGAAAAAGAAGGGAATCAATGTTTGTAGGAAAATGGGTGGAACCAAGCAAAATAAACTAGATTTAGGAAAAGAAACACGATGTTTTCTCTTAGGGAATTAAGATCGAAAAAAAAAAAAACCAAACTGTGATAGACAGTGTTAGGTGACATACATCTGGAATTTCAGTACTCAGTAGGTTGAAGAAGGATGATAACAGTTTTAGGCCAGGGTGGATCATGGAAGTAGAAAGGGGACAATTTGAGGAAAGGAAAGGGACCTGGCCTGAAAGGAGGCCAGAAAGAGTAGTATGGAGCAGTGATTATGATAAAAGTGTACTTTATATGTGAGAACATGATAACGAAACCCATTATCTTGTGCAGTTTATACTAGTCAGACAGTAAAAATACACATAATTCTGGTTGATTGCTGTCTGGGAAACAAAGTCAGAATGGCATTATCTGTGTGTTGTTGTCACTATGCACATTTGAAACATACAGTCCTTGGTTATTTTTATTGTAATGTGTGTGCCAGGGTGCACATGTGGAGGTTAGAGGGAAGCTCGCATTGGTTCTCTTTTCACCATTTTCTGAATTCTGGGCATTGAGCTCAGGCTGTGGGACTTGCATGTGCTGACTGAGTCATCTTGCCGGCATCCTAACCTTCCTTGTACTGAGGAGCCAGTGTAACTCATTTAACACGTGGCCTTAGTGTATTGAAGTCGAGCCCTTGCTTATCTGTCTCTGCCTTATGGCAGAGATAAGGACAAACATGAATGGTACACACATTTATTAGACGTCATCACTTGGAAGCGCGTGTTTTATTTTTTTCAACATCTCCAGTGTATTTGCATGTTAACAAGGGGAAAATTTAACAGTAATTTAGCTTAGAATTCTAGGGAACTGTCTCTTACAATGCAAGCGGTGTTTAATGTTTTGTTCATTTGAGCTCAGAGGGCTTCTTATGATTAGATCATCTGCGGTACATAGATGAAATTGTTTCTAACTGAATGAAGTCAGGAGGATACGATCAAAATTACTTTTCTGTGAATGTTTGAAGTTCTTCAATACTATGCTAACAAACTTTCTAACAGCTGGATGTGGTTGGCACCCACCTTTGGTCCCAGGACTCAGAGGCAGAAGCAGTAGTATCCCTGAGCACAAGGCCAGCCTGGTCTACATAGTGAACTCTAGGACAGCAGTCTGAAAAATCTGACAGTAGCAGATAAGGCTGTCTCTGACCATATAACAGAAGTTAGAGAATGTACTGAGTTTGTATAGTCCAGTTTCTACCAACCGTTTTATTTAAGATTACAGAAGTCTTTAATGCTCCTTTACTACGGCAACTTTCATACACACTGGGCCTTCCTGGGTGAGGGGGTGTGCTGGGGCTGGACCCAAGGCTTCAAGTGTCCTAGGCAAGTGCTCTGCTGCTGAGCTACACCTCTAGGAAGGCTGAGCAGGCTGCCTTTAACTCACCACGTAGTGCAGGCTGACTTCAGAGTCTTCCTTCTTAGCTTTTCATAGGTGTGTGCCATACCTTCTTAGAACTGACTCTAATCTGCACATTAGTGTCTACTTTAGTGAGGAATGCATTTTTAGAGTCTGGTAATTATTTCTGTTTTCAGTTTATGATTTTATTATCTTAATTTTTCAGTTGGCCGTAAACCAAAGACCCAGCAGTCACCAGTTTCCAATGGGTCTCCTGAGTTAGGAATCAAGAAGAAAGCCAGAGAAGGAAAAGGTAATTTGTGGATGGTCATTTTGGAAATAAGATAATTTTGTGTGTGTCTGTATGAGAGAGAGACATTTTGCAGTTGCAAGAAGGATAATTTTTAGTAGATATGTGTATGGGAGTTACCATCTCTCAGTTCTTAATCAGTGGCAAGTCAACATTATGGGGAACTTTTATCAAAATAGCTGTATCGATGGGATAGTGGTAATGTCCATAGGACAGTACAAACCACTGTTTGTAGGAACCATTGTTTAGGGGATATTTATATAATGGCACTTATGCTTATCATGCTGAACCACTTTAATAGAAGAGGCTGTACTTGATTTGTTTGGATGGGTGAAGTCAGGAGACAGTCTGTGAGAGCCAGAGACTCTGTACTGTGTGGTCCTAGGGACTGAACTCTGGTCATCAGTTTTGGCAACAAGCTCTGTCATTTAAGCTACCTCTGGCCTTCTGATACATACTTTTTTACTTCATTTCAAGACAGGATTTCTCTGTAGTCCTGGCTGTCCCAGAACTCAGAGATCCACTTGGCTTTGCTTCCTAAGTGTTGGAATTAAAGGTGTGCGTCACCACACTCAACTCTTTTTAAAAGCTCTCCTGGAATTGGAGTTGCATGCAATCATGGGTGCTGGGAACACAGGTCTTCTTCAAAAGCAGAGTTCTTAGCCATTCAGCCATCTCTCCAACCCCTCTGCTTCCTTATTTGGCATGTTTGATGATCCCATAAACAAAATTTATCACTGGTTAATAAGTAAACGTTTTAAAATTGTCTTAAATTTTTTATTAATGTTTAAATTTGTCCTATTATTAATAGATTTATTATGTAAGTCTAGTGAAAACTCTGCCTAATAAGTCCACAGGAAAACTTGGTTATATATAAGAGGAAGAAAGAACAAATAAATTTCATTGATCTTAGGAATTTGGGACACATTTGACTTAATCTGGGACAGGTTTCAGACTTTCATTTCCTTGTCTGCCGTTTCTGCCCTTGGTGGATTTCAAATGTGTTAGTTTTTGTCTTTCAGTGTATATTGAGGCCAAGGGATATAGCACAGCCAATGGAATACTTGCCTAGTAAACCCCTAGTGTGCACTGAGTAGAACTAGGCATGGTAGTGCATATCTGTAATCCCAACAAGAGGATCGAAGATTCAGGGTCACCTTTGGGTATCTGAGTTTGAACTCAATTTGGGTTACCATGAGATCTTCCCCTGAAATTATACTGCAGACTTTAAAGTTACACTGTAATAGTAAATACTGTAAATAGTAAGTAGAAAGTCAAACTACAAATACAAATACATACAATAATAAATACATTGTTATTTGTGGCTTTGTTGCTTCATGGTGGTGCTAGAAATGGACTTGAAGGTCTTGTGCACATGGCACTCTTTGTGAGCCACATCCTCAGCTCCTAAAGCACTTACAATTTAGTCTAAACTTGAAGCAGATGTTACAATATGGTTAAAGTAACAGATAAAGCTGTATTCAAACTCTAGACATTGTTCTGAAAACACAAGATAAAAGTGTCTGTTATAGGCGGGAGTCCTATGAAAGCATCCATGTTTGAATTCTGTTTTCCTTAGAATAAGATGATTAAGTTGGGAATGAGAACTTGGATAGAGTAATGAACTATCTACATTCAGCAACTATAGATGTTGATGAGTCTGACTCACCAAACAGTCATTTAAAGTCCTGATGGTAGTAAAGTAATCTGTATGGTGTGGGGAGGCAGAGACAGGCAGGTCTCTGTGAATTCAAGACTAGCCTGGTGTATATATAGCAAGTTCCAGGATAGCCAGGACTACATTAAATCAATAAATAAAATAATTAAATCTCTGCTCACTTTTCCTGGGTCTAGTCACAGAATCCAGTAATCCCCTGCTTGTAAAAGAGAACCCAGCAGGTGTGGTTGATGATGTGCATGGGTACTGATGGGGATGCGCTGCTGCTTCAGAGCTGAGGAGGCGGTCCTGAGGAGGCTGGTCTCTTTTAGCTAGAGATGTGTACAAACTGTGCTCAGCTGTGAGCTGTTTGTTGACTGGGAAGGGAGCTCTGAATGAAAATGAAGTGCCAGTGTTTGAGTTGAAGATGGGACTGCAGTGAGTTTGGTTTGGAGGCCTCGCCTGAAGCTTGGGTCTGCACTCAAGAATATAGTGAGGAATTGTTAGTAGAGTCTTGGACTGGGTAGGAACAAGTGTATTGTCACCTTTTCTCTCAGGAGTCTTCTTTCATCAGTTCCTAGAGGCTCTGCAGGAAGAAAAAGGAAAACAGCTCGCAAAGTCTGGCTTTCTCAAGGTGCTGGTTCTCTACCCCTTTCCAAGGGAAATTAATAAATAAAAGAATTTCTTTCTTTCTTTTGGGGCTTAAGTTATTTATTGTACTTGCCAAATCTTCCCCTTTATGCGTATATTAACTGTCTTCCAAGACTTAACCATTCCTGACATGTGAGCCACTGTTTTCTGAGATTATTTTGAGACACACAGTTACACAGTGCCTTATGACTTGTCTTAGATTGTTTGGGGCTGATACTGCATCATTGTCTTATCTTGCCATCTGCCCCCTTCCCTAAATTGTCCATTCCTTGAGGCAGACATCAGACTGTCATAGATACACGTAGATGCCATTTTTATTTTTTATTCATGTGTATATGTCTATGTCTGTAGGTGCATGTCAGTCAGTCAGTGCAGGTGCCGTGGAGGCCAGAGGCATTACAGTCTCAGAGCTGGAGTTAATAGGTAGTTTTGAGCTGCCTGGTATGGGTGCTAAGATTCAAACTTTGGTTCTCTGGAAAACAGTATGAGCTTGTAACCACTGAGCCATCTCTCCAGCTTCAAGTGTAGACATTTTATTTTGCATAAATGTTTGATGTTGCTAGCGGTGTGATCCAGGACTAATTATATGGTAGTCCAGTTTGCATTTCCTAGCAGTTCAGAGGTCATAGGAGTTCATGGATTGGGGCAGCCTGTAGCAAGTGGCCCACAGTTCCAGCCTACTGTTTAATCAAAGAAAAGTATTTCTTACGGAAAGGTCCCGAGCACTGTGGCTCTGAGACCTGCCTCAGCACTAACGGCAGCAAAGCTGGTTAGTGCCTTCTGATGAGTTTTAAGGGACTTGGTATAGAATATAAAACATGTACAGGTTATTATATTCAGAGTTCAAATCTGTATAAATTAAGAAATTTGATTCTGTTTAAGTCAGCATTATACTCTTGCATTATACTAAGCATTATGCTATTGCCTTTACTGAGGTTGAAGCCTTGGATACAGGACATAGGACAGTAAAGATCTAGGGCCTCTATCAGCTTCCTTGTGGAAAAGCATAGATTTTTAAGAATGGACATGTAGTCTGGGCATGGTGCTGCAGGTCTTTGATCCCAGCATTTGGGAGGCAGAGGCCTTCAATTTGAGAGTAGCTTGGTCTGCATAGCAATTTTCAGGCCTTGTAGGGCTGCATAATGAGATCTCACCTCAAAAAGAAATGGCAGATAAGTATATTTAGTATTTTTATGGTAAATATGGGTATTTTATTTGCAATTAATCATATTAATGGATTTTAAATTAATGCCTATCATTGTTTTTGTTTTTAAAGGAAACACAACCTATCTGTGGGAGTTTCTTTTGGATCTACTTCAAGATAAAAATACTTGTCCCAGGTATATTAAATGGACTCAGAGAGAAAAGGGCATATTCAAACTTGTGGACTCAAAGGCTGTCTCGAAGCTTTGGGGAAAGCATAAGAACAAACCAGATATGAACTATGAAACTATGGGACGAGCTTTGAGGTGAGAATAAACATGGGCTACATTTTAAATTAACTTACATGTCTCTTAAGATTGTCTGTTTATTGTTAAAGTCGTTTTAAGAAAAGCTTTTTTTTTTTTAAATCCCTTAATTGAATTTCTAATTTTGGTGAACAACCTAGACAAATTTCTTAACTTTGGAAATAGATGGGGAAAGAGAAGTTTGATCTACATGTAAAACTTCAATATTGGAAAATCCTTATTTATTGAAAATTGATTCTGCATTTGAAACTGTTCTGGAATAGAAATTGTTACATTGTAGGCCTTTTAAGACATTAAACCCAGACTAGATGCGGTGGCATGTGCCTTGTAGTCACACTGTTTGGGGATTGAAGACAGGATAGTAAATTGAAAGTCATTTTACTTTTCAAGCCAGCCTGGGTTACAGTGAGATTCTTTAAGAAACCCTAGATGAAATATATTTTCCAAAGTTAATTTGCTTTTAGTTCCTGAAAATATTGTAAATGACATTGTCTTGATAATGAAAAATTTTTGTTGTTTGGTTAGTATGAGAAATCCATTAAATCCTCAATGTTCACATTTTAGTATTTATTTACTTGAGACAAGTCTAGCCCAGACTGGCCTGGAACTTATATGATCAAGCTGGCTTGAACTTGCATCAGTTCTCTTACCTTAGTTTCCCAAATCTGTGGTGTCAGGCACGAGCCACTCCTATATTGTGTGTGTGTGTGTGTGTGTGCGCGCGCGCGCGTGTGTGTGTGTGTGGCAGCATTCATCTATTCCACAGACTACATTCCATTTCTGCTAAACTTTCTATATAAAGTCACTGTTTTTATAACATAGGGTTACTTGTAGTATCAATGTATAGTGTCCTGTGTTTAGGCTAAGATAGTCCAAAGAGAGAACAGGGTGTAGATGGCAGATGTACTGTGATCTTATCACTTGAGAGGTGGAGGAAGGAGGATCAATATAGAGTTGGAAACTAGCCTGGTCTGTATAAATAGAGGTGGTGGGGTGCTGGAGGTAAAGCTGGGTGACAGAGCACTTTCCTCTTAGTAACGCATCTCTAGGTTCAGCCCTCGGTGCCACACGTCTTTGCACACATGAAGGTTACAGAGCTGCACTAGCTACTTCTCGGGACGGTGGAGAATTCTTAGTGCTAGGACTCGCGTCACACCCACAGCCAGACAACAGACATGAAAGCTGCTACTTAGCTTGCTTTATCTTTTTTATTTGGTCTGAGACTCTGTCATGCAACGTTGCTGCCCCACACTTACGTTGGGTCTTCCCACCTTAATGGAATCTAGGAAAAAAACCAGAGAGTTAGTTCCTAAGTGCTTCTAGAGCTTGTCAGATTGACAGTCAGTATTAACAGTCACGCCGGCCCGACACCAACTTCAGATCCTCCCCAAATCTGTAATCACGTGATAGTCAAGCAGAAGGAGCGCCCGCAGTGTGTTCTGTGTGATTTTATTGTGAAGGCAAGAGGACGTTTGACTATTCAATCATTTTTCCTCTCACAGATACTACTACCAAAGGGGGATTCTCGCAAAGGTTGAAGGACAGAGGCTTGTGTATCAGTTCAAGGACATGCCCAAAAATATAGTGGTCATTGACGACGACAAGAGCGAAGCCTGCAGTGAAGACCTGGCAGCAGCCACTGACGAGAAGTCCCTGGAGCGAGTGTCACTGTCTGCAGAAAGTCTCCTGAAAGCAGCAACTTCTGTTCGCAGTGGTAAAAACTCATCCATAAACTGCTCCAGAGCAGAGAAGGGTGTGGCTAGAGTTGTGAATCTTACTTCCCCTGCTCACGACACTTCATCCAGGTCTCCTACCACCACAGCGTCAGTGACAGCAGCAGCAGCTCCAAGGTGAGGGCATTAACTGTAACATAGCGTTTTGTTCTTGAAATGCACCGTGAAACATTGGAACTGGCCTGGTTTAATCTGTGATAGCCAACGCTGTATGAACACTTTAAAAAATGCATCTTGGGGTTGGAGAGATGGTTCAGCGGGTAAGAGCACTGGCTGCCCTTCCAGAGGACCTGGTTTCAATTCCCAGTGCCCACATGGCAGCTCACAACTGTCTGTAACTATAGTTTGAGGGGATCCAACACCCTCACACAGACATGAATGTAGACAAAATTCCAGTGCATGTAAAATATTTTTTTTTTTAGAAATCAAGTGCTGGATCTTTTAAAATATACTTTTAGCTATACACAGTGAAACATATTTGTAGTCCTAAGTACTGTAGAGGCCAAGGCAAGAGAATCTAACATGAGACCCATTTTCTAATTTAGTATTGAACATATCCAACCTCTTTGTTTTTATCCACCAGGACAGTTCGTGTGGCAATGCAAGTTCCTGTGGTGATGACATCACTGGGTCAAAAGATTTCAACTGTGGCAGTTCAGTCAGTCAATGCAGGCACACCATTAATAACCAGCACCAGTCCGACTACAGCCACCTCTCCAAAAGTAGTCATTCAGACGATCCCGACTGTGATGCCAGCCTCTACTGAAAATGGAGACAAAATCACCATGCAGCCTGCCAAAATTATCACCATCCCTGCCACACAACTTGCACAGTGTCAACTGCAGACAAAGTCAAATCTGACTGGATCAGGAAGCATTAACATTGTCGGAACCCCCTTGGCTGTGAGAGCACTTACCCCTGTTTCAATAGCCCATGGTACTCCTGTAATGAGACTATCTGTGCCTGCACAGCAGGCTTCTGGCCAGACTCCTCCTCGAGTTATCAGTGCGGTCATAAAAGGGCCAGAGGTTAAATCAGAAACAGTGGCAAAAAAGCAGGAACATGATGTGAAAACTTTGCAGCTGGTAGAAGAAAAGGGAGCAGACGGGAATAAGACAGTAACCCATGTAGTGGTTGTCAGTGCGCCTTCTGCTATTGCCCTTCCTGTGACTATGAAAACCGAAGGACTAGTGACGTGTGAGAAATAAGCGAGCTCTGCCGTGGCCTGCAGACTGTTAGTGTTGTACTGACAAACATTTGCAAGGGAAGACATCAAGAAAAGCCAGAGGAGGACTTCAGACAATTGTGCATATAAGAAAGCAATCAGACTTACTGGAATAATTACCTATCCCATGTTTCAGTGGGAAGTGAACTACACATTGAGATATGCTGACAGAAAACTGCCTCTTAAAGTAGGGATAACTGAACCCTCAATAAGAAAACAGACTGAAAGGGACCAAGCAGCCCACTACAATAGCAAGTTACACTAAGAGTTGGAACACTAACACCTGTAAGAGGTTACATAGTTTTCAGTGGGGCGGGTTGGGATGGGTGATCTCATTGTTACATATAGCAATTTTTGATGCATTTTTATATGCATACCAGCAATTATTACTGTGTTTGCACAGTACTCACTTAACTGGTGCTATGTGAAGACTGCTAATATAGGTATTCTAGAATGTGAACTGAGTGGATCCAAAAGCTCCAGAAGAGGGTAACAAAAAGATGTAGTGCGTTTCTTGTTTTATTTTTTGTTTTTGAATATATATATATCATATAGCTTAAGCTGTTTTAAAACAAAGGCCTTAGACTAATTTTCGGTTTTCTTCCTTGAAATAAGCTAATGGCTTGTTTGTGTAAAGCTTTTTTATTAAAGGAAAAAATTTTAAAAATCTTGTACCTAGCACAGTATTGTTATAGAATTTACATGTAACATTTTATATGGTAGTTTAAGTCTGTTGGTTTCTTAATTGTGAAGAAATTAACTGTAACATACCTGCGTCACTCAAGTCAGCCCTGGCATCTCGCAGACACATCAGTATCAGTTCTCCTGGCGTTTGGAAATTCAGGCTCAGCATGAACTCGTCGGGTAGCTCTAATACCTGCTGTTTGTTTTCTTTCTCATTCTTTTTCCTTCCTTCCTCCTTTTTTTCCTCCTTTTTTTTCTTTTTTAGTTGATGTTTAAGAGGGAAAGTACCAGTGTTCAGATTTGAACTATAATAGTTTGTATATTCAACATTTGAAGTATATTCTATTTTGTTGTACTCTTGTTTCAAAGTGTATTCAAGTAGGTTTTCTGAAATATAGAAGTGAAATTTATCTTGTGGTTTTGGTCTCTGGTGATATTTTTCACAATACTCAAAAGCCAGTATAGGGTGTCATTTTGGTTAAGCAATAGAAGTCTCGTGTTTTCTTAATTACTTCATGAAGAAACACTACTCTGGTGTTGTCCCATTCATATGAATATTTGGCAATTACCCCCACATTTCCATTTCCTTTATAATCGCCTACTTAGCAAATGTAGGGTTGTAGCTGGCCACGCTTAATGGATTTATATACGTGAAGCACTTTGAGCTAGTGGTAGGCTGCTTGCCTGGCATGTGCAGGCCCCTGGATCTGTCCCGGCACCTTAGCTGCACACCGGGTCCCTTTCAGTCACACCATATTTCCATCAGTCCTCCTATGGGTAGAGAGAAATGGTCCAGCCTTTGCAGAGATCACACAGATTACTTAATCTAACACGTAATTAGGTCCTCCTCTACATATTAGTTGTCTATCTTTTTAGAAATTTAGATTAACTTTTAATAGTTTTTGGCCTTTGTATATTTAACACGATGCTACTTATATCAGCAAAGATTTTTATAAAAGTTCTCTTTCTAACTTTTTTTTTTTTAAAAAAAAAAAAACTAAACCAATTTAAAGAATTGATGTGTATGGGTGTTTTCCTGCATGTATGGTGTGTGCACTTAACACTGTCCTGATGCCCCAGGAGACCAGAAGAGTGGAGCTGCCTTCGGGTGTAACCTCTCTGGAAGAGCAGCTGCTGAGCCAGCTCTCCTGGCCACACCCCTTTTCTAACCCACAAGCTTACCTAGTGGGACTTAAAAATACAAGTCTAGGTTGATTTTTTTTTTTTTACCCCCATTGAGAGTTAGCCTCAAAATCTACCTCTTAGAACATCTAAATATTCCATCTTTTGAAATCAAGACTGCAGTCAACTTTTGCAGTCAAAAGGCTGTACATGACTGGACCCAAGTCCTGAGCTACACAGAGCATACACAGATTTTGATTACCTTTGCTAAGAGTCTTAACAGCTCAGTTGTAATAGATAATTTCTTACACATTTTATTAGTTGGTTTGAACTTCATTCTAAAAGCAACAGAAAGTTTCAGATATGCATCTAAGACCTAAACTTGCAAATGTAACTACAGCTTCTGAACCCAGTCTTTCTGAGCTTAATTCAATATAACACTTTTGTGTTCAGTGCTTTTAGAGAAAGGCCACAGAAACCGTGCCTTGGTGCCATTGCATCTTCCAGCCTCCACAGTCTTTGCAGTGTGATGGGCAGCCTGTGTTTATCCTTAGATCCAAACTTCAGTTACCACCGTTCTCTGCAGATGACCAAAAGTATCTAGAGATTGCTTGGCTGGACCCTTGGCTACAAGAGAATCTCACTTCCGCAAACATTGTTGTCAGATTCAGGAAGGAGGTATCTCTGTTGTGCATAAGCATCGCTTTCTCTTCACACACCCTTGGTCCAGTAGTTAACAGCTGGTCATCAGTATTTCTTCATCAGACCATTTATTTCTGAATGGGGAGCCTGCAGTGTTCGCTCAAGTTCACCAATAGCCCAGTTTCCAAATCAAACATAATTAATTTGAAAGATCACAGGACAACCTTTAGAAATCAGTTACTCCTTCCATCATGTGGGTCCTCATGTCATGAGGTTTTGTCATAAGCACCTTTACCTATTTATTGAGCCATCTCAACAGCCCTAATACATTCTTTTTGATGTATTATGTGCCTGCACCTATTATGTATGCCACCAAATGCATGCAGTGCCTGTGCAGACCTGAAGGAGTTGGAACCCCTGGAACTGGAGTTACAGGTGAGCTGCCATGTAGCTTCTGGGAATCAGACCTGGGTCCTCTGCAATAGCAGCAAATGCTCTTAACCCAGGAGCCTTCTGTCCAGCACTTTACTTCAACCCACTCGTCCCCATCTCCTCTGATGCGTTTTTTTTTTTTTTCTGGTCCTAAGGTTTTCTCTGTAGGGCTTATCAGAGTTGTAGGAATGGAATGAGCTCATAAGTCTGATGTACAAGCAGACACTATTGAATGTTTACTAAGGTGATTTGAATGTAACAGCCGTTCTTCAGATAGCTGAGCTGACAAGTTTTTTGGTCTCGACTAGAACTTGACTTTTAGATCACACTCATTGCCACACCAGCTCTTCCTGAGTGCTGGATTAAACTGTTCCCTGTAGTAGTAATAGGCCATAGCCTTCTGTATGGCTGCCTTACCTCTGATAAGGTCCGTGCTGTCAACATCATCCTCTTGCCTTAGTCTCTGGAATGCTGAGACTTCAGGAAGCCAGAGTAGAGGTCAACCTGGGCTAACGTGGACCAAAAGCCAAAGGAAAATGTGGATTTCATTACACCGTTGTGGTTACTTTAAATTCAATGGCATCTTGCTTGAACTTACAAAGCCCGGTTCTTTGCTAGTATCCCAGGCACACCTTCCCATTCCTCTCCTCTTGCACCTAGCATTTAAAGTTCTATTCGGCCTGAGGCTGGGGGCTGGAAATACTGAGGTACCTTGGGAAGGTAGAAGGAACAAAAGTGTTCAAGAGTCAGGAGAGATGAGATGACTTCACTGGGACAGCGAGGCAGGAGCACTGCTGCAACCTTGTGGTTGCCTTGGGCTACACAAGTAGTGCCAGGCCAGCCTGGGCTACAAAGCAAGTGTCTCAAAAAAGGTGGAGCTAAGGGAAAGAGAAGAAAGCAAATAGGCCAGACAAATAGGCAGGGCCTGAGCCTCTCACAATGCAGATCTCTGCTGAACAACTACTTAGTTTGGCTTTGGAAACAGGGTTTCAGATATCCTAGGCTGCCTTGAACTTGCTTTGTAGTTGAGAAGGATCATGAGCTCGATTCTACCCCTACTTTCCCAGGGCACTATCATGTCCTGGTTGGGTCTCTCCTGGTGCTAGGGATCTGGCTGGAGCCTGCCTGTGCTAGAAGGTGCTCCACCAGAGCCACTCCCAGCTCCTGAACTGCCTTGACCTATTACTCAGTTACTCCAAGTCTTGTGTGGTTGTGACTTTGACTGTGTCCCCAATAACCAACACCTATCACATTCTATAGGAACTTCAGAGACAGCAAAGGCAGGCCTTGGTGAGTATCAGTGTGCCTGCATGAAGCCTCCAAATATCTGACGCACTCTAGTGCAGTGGGGAGACTGACCTGACTGCTGTGTCATTTATTTGTGAACCTGGAGGCTGAAGGCAGGGGTAAGCCATTTTGGAGAACTCCATCCTTGTACTGAGATTCCAAAAGCTTGAATGTGTAGCTACTTCTGTTAAGTGTCCAAATGAAAATTTAGTGTGGAAGTGGATAGTGTTTGAACCACATACTATTAAGATACAAACTGACTCCCAGATTCCATTAGGACAAAAACCAAACCAAAACACACACACAAAACTCCCTCAAGATTAAAAGCACTGTTATAAATTCATTTATTATTCTTAAATAATATTTAGAACTCATACATTAAAACATTTAACATTTTATCATTAGTCATTTATAATTATTTTTCTTAGAAGTTTCAACAATTGGAAGAGAACTATAGGCTAACGTTTCTGCTCTGACATTGTTTGAGAAATTTTGAGCCCCGTCATTTTGGCTGTTCTTTGGGATTTTTTGAAAAGGGGTCTTCGCCAGGCGGTGGTGGCACATGCCTTTAATCCAGCATTTGAGAGGCAGAGGCAGGTGGTTCTTTGTGAGTTTGAGGCCAGCCTGGTCTACAAGAGCTAGTTCCAGGACAGGCTCCAAAGCTACAGAGAAACCCTGTTTCAAAAAATGGGGGGGGGGGGGGCAGAAAAAGGGTCTTGATATTGAAGCCCAAGCTCGTCTCCAATACAGAGCTTTTGATCACACCTGGCCGCGCAATGGGCTTTCTGGAGTTCTCGTCTCAGAACTCAGAAGGAATTCTCACTATTCTTAGTCACTGTTCCAGGACTGTTTCTAAAGCTACTTGTCAAAAGCACATTCCAAAAGAAGTCATGGAGTAGTCTTCGCATGTATGCCAATGCCATACAGACAGTACAAATACTTAACTATGACTAAATGATGAAAACTAATTAAAAATGAACTGGCATTTCGTCAAGAAATACAATGGTAAGTTGGAGGCATAGCAAAACAGCAAGGATTATATGAAGATTGTCACAAATCCTTCAGGGCTAAATATAGTTCCTTAGTGTTAGGTCACCAAATAAAAACAATTGGAAGTTTTAAGGGAATTATGTCTATTCCTGCATCTACAATGCTATATAATCCACTTAATTTTACATGAAGATATAAAAAAAATAAATATTGCCATGCATTTCTTGCTGACATTTTAAATTCCCACAAATAAATAATGAAATACTCTCTAGAAAACATCCTACATTTTACTTGTGAGGGGCTTACAAATTGAGTTTTTATAGCACCCTCAAGTTTAAAAAACGAAAACAGAATAAACAAAATACTTAGAATAAGTCTAATTTAATGCCCTCAAGTAGTGGAGAATGGTATAGAAAATTAACAACACACAAGCCCAAACTGGAGTGCAAACACCTTTTCACTGCAGGTTTTAATCGGAAAGGTTCGTGAACAAATTCTTTTCCAAGGGCATGCTGGAAACGATGGAGAACGTTTCAGGCAACTTATCATATTTCAGTTTCCCAGAACATCCCTGGTTAAGACTCTTGTGATTAGAATGATACAGTGTTTATAAGAGTTCCTTGGGCTCCTCATTAAAGCTGAAGTCACACACCAGTGACAGGTGGTCTGAGGGGTAGTGAAAGGATGGGAGCCGGCTGGGCCCAATCTGTTCTTCAGTGAGCAGTTCCAGAGCAGAGGTGACGCTCAGAGCGTGTCTGGAGTACCAGATGTAGTCCAGGGTGTGACGACACTCCCCCGAGGTCCGGATCTTCCAGGTTGTGTATGGAGGCTCCGACTGTCCATCAGGACTCAGCAGCTTGTAGGCGCTGTTGAGATTGAGGCTGGAGGAAGCGAAGTGTTTGTAGACCTCTTCAGTGGGCTCTGCATTGAAGTCCCC